ATGAACAGTTAGCAGAGAATAAATCCACCAGATACCTTTATGAAAGCAAATTTTGCTAGTAAAAGATCATAAAGCCATAGGTACCCCCCAGAAGACATGAAAAACAAACTCACTTCTTACTTTTGCCCAGAGCAGGCTTAGAGCTGTCTTCACGTTAGTTTACCCTAGATTTCTCTTAGGACATTGAGGGCAGAAAAGATTTTTGTAATCTAAAATGTCAGGAAACAAAGTTAGAAAGTACAATATGCAGAAGAAAACATATTCAATGAATTTCTGAATGCTATGCTAGTTTTTTGCTTCAGAAAGGAAGAAAAGCGCTCTCTCTTGCTCTGTCTGATGGCATGGCTCAAGTGTGGACGTGTGCGTTTGAGATCTTCCCCAGCTAAGTTGCAAATAGGAAACTCAAGGCCGTACCCAGGCCCCTCTGCAGCTCGCTGAGAAAATGCAGGAATACCTCTGCCTGCAGCATGTGTCACCACTAGGGGTCCCCAGCAGCAGGCGATGTGAACTGGGAATTGGGTATCTGAGGCGGCCTCCCTTTGTCTGCACCCCAGGTGTGGACTCCTCTTTGTTCAGAGGCAGGGCTGCTACCTTGGGCAGGGCTGAGCCGCCAGCTGGCTAGGTAACCCCATCATGCGCTCTGGAACCTTCTGAGGAAAAGGAGTGTTTCTCAGCTTCTGTCTCTAGTTAGGCATGACATTACCTCAGAAGGAGCCAATGCTTTCCCTTTAACGGGACTAGGTATCTTCGTGTTTGAAATAGGGCTTAAACTACAAAGGGAAATATTTCTCACCACAACAAAATTGATGGCAAACAGACCACCTTTCAGGGTACAGTAAAGTATTTGCCATAAAATATTTAAAGTTAGTTGACAAATAGCCTCACCGTTCTCCTGTGAATGCCGGCCACTCGATTAATCTTGAAAGTAAGGAATACAGTATTTCATCCTGTGTTCAGCACGAGAAAATGGAATGACCTTCACTAAGAAATACCCCAGAGTGCCTGAGAGAGCACAGCTCCAGCCGTGACAGCCGCATTCACCCTGCAGTGTTTTCTTGTCTGCTTTTAAACTTCACAGGAATGATAAAAGAAAATAAACAAATTACAGTAATGCAAGAGCTACCCTGCAAACAGCAGAGTTGTAACAGCTGGTGATGGAAGGTGGGGTGAGGACTGTGAACATTTGGTCCATCAAAATTTTATTCTTATGCTTTCACCATTTCAGTTTTTCTTGTTCACAGCAAAGGTAGTGCCCTTACACACCCATCAACTTCTTTTTGAGCTCCAGATGTGTTACTCATCATCTGTGGCTCAGTGGTCACAGCTACTGAGGTGGAAAGTAATTGGCATAGATGAGAACCATCTACTTTACTTTACTCATTTATTCCACAAATATCTCCTGGGCACCTATTGTGTGCAAAGCGTGGTAGAGATTACAAGGGCTGTGCTGCAGGAGAAGGCTCAGCCTGGACCTGTCTGAGGGAGGTCCTGGGTGGAGGTCAGGGGATTGTCTTCAGTGGAGATGGGACAATTAGAATCACCAACTGTAGTTGAACAGCAATTGCCTAAAGCTGAGAATTCACCATTTAAAAGCTCTGTATTTCTGCTTATTATTATGGCATTTTTCAGACAAAAGTCTCCACCCTCCTCCTTTGCCAGCAAAGTAATAAAGTTCTCTTTCTTTCTCCCAGAAAAAAAAAGAGAATGAGAGAGAGAATACAGGAGCTGGGCAGACAAGGATCTTGCCCCCAGGATGCTTTTAATAGACTACAGAGATAAAATATGTACCAAAATTAGTGTTAAAACAAGACAGAGCATGAGATCTGCCAATTGAGAGGTGCAGAACAAGGACAAGAGGAATTCTACTAGGAAGGAGAGCTGGTTTCTGGCATGAAAAGCAGGGAAGATTCTACAGAGAAGGTGCATTCTGGTTGAATCTTCACGATATGTAGGATGGGCCACAGGAGGGAATGGCAGATACCATGCTGCCAGCCTCAAGGGGCACAGGGCACAAATGAGAAAGTGTCGAATTCGTGAAAGGAGGAACAGAAATAAGTTTGGAAAGAGAAAGCTGGAAGGCCTGGAAGAATACCAGGTAAAAGCTAAGTTAAAACAAAATGGTAATTTTTAATTTTAAGTAGATCATATTATCCATAACTCTTTTTATCTCATAAGACTTTTAATATTTGAAGAAAAATATAGAAATGTCTAAAAAACTTCTACTTTTCAAACAGATCTAAGCTCTTTGTAGCACCAGTATTTCCTTTTCCACTGGCAAGCAGGAATTCCCTAGAATGAAGGCCACAGATGAATGAATAAAACAGATGAACTAATTTTCTCATTGTTTGATTTTGGGGTCCACAGTTTCCTGAGCCTACTGAGGAGGGGGTTAGCATTTTCGTTTCAGCCATCTCCTGCTAATTTATTGATATTAAACATTTTTGCAAGGAGCAGACAGCCTTTAGGCCTCCGAATCTGAGAAGGATGCTAGTGAACGATCGTGCCTGCTGAGTTTTCTCCATTGGTTATGGCTTTAATGATCCACATGCTCAATTAGCTTTCAGATTTTAGTTCTGAACCTGGAGCTCTCTGTTTGTTCTTCAAAATAATGGGCTTCAAAGTTATGGTCCATCTCCTACCGATGGGCTGGGCCTCCCCTGTTATCACATCTCTGTTCAGCAAGCGTGTTTGTTGGCCTTGTTACCCTTCTTCTGGGCTCAGGACCCAGTAGAGAAAAAAATGAGTCTCAGTCTTTTTCTACTTTTGTACAGCACAGGGGTGGTGCCTTCCCAGCAAGTGGCCCTCTGTCCCTTCATCTGTCAATATGGAATACTAAAAATAATCTATTTCACAGGGCCATGCTTTACTTTCTCTAACTAACCAAAGCTCTATGAAGGCAAATATTACCATCCAAACTGTGTAAATAGCATCTGACATCCTTTTGTGAGACTTCAGAGATGAATAATGAAACCTGTTGCCTATTGCACAATTTGAGATAAGAAATATAAACCTTGGGCCAAAGGTGAGCCATTTCCCCTGGTAGAACAGTTCACAGCTGATTAGTTATCTTCAGATGCAATGGAGAAGGCGAAAGTTGTTCAAACTATACATTTGATCTTTCAAGTGGCTTCTGGAATACAAACGTTACACCAGGAGCATTGTAGCATTACACATAATATGTCCTTCAATCTTCACAACACTCTATGTTATCAGATTTCTGTGGCAGCTGGAGAAACTGAGGCTCAGTGAGTTGAAGTAATTTGCTCAAGGTCACACAGCTAAGTGACAGAACCGGAGTTTGAACCCAGGTGTTGTCTTCAAAGCCCAGATGGTAACAATCCCAGCAGGTGACATAGCCAAGTCAGAGAGTCCACCGTCTAAAGATCTGGAGGGATAAGAAGATTACTAGTCAAACAAGTAAATGCTGCCATCAATCAGAAGAACTCTGGGGAAACAGAAAGTTCCACTCTGATAGAGAGGTCAAGGGTGTGATGGGCCACAAATCCCTGAGGGGCTCCAGTTTAGGCTACATGGAGGGTGATTGCATAAAACAAAAATGCTGCTATTGGGTAGGTAAAGAGGTGGTGCTTGGGTCTCCTTATACCAGGCAGGGTTGTTTCAAGGTCTGTGCAGGTGAGGGTCAGGAAGACACAGTCCCATGTGACCAGAGAGTGCTCACATCCCTTCACTATCCAGCAAGCCACATTGAAAAAAATGAGCCTCACTGGGAAGACAACTGGGATGGCATCCTGGAGGGAACTTCTAAAAAATAGTTTAAATCAACTAGAAAATGTAACGTGGGTGTATATTGTGATTACTTAACATGCATTATTCGCTGTATGCGAGGTGTTCCCCCAGGATCTGGCTGCTGTTCCCGTGTCGCTCCTGATAATTTTTAAATTGACTATGTCCTTTTAACCATGGTTTTAAAAATTGAACTACCCCAATGTGAACACTTCCCATTTTGCTATATAATGAGAGTACTTTCATTCCTTTAATGTTTGCTTTTTCCTTTGATCTAACAATTTCTCTTCAAATTTCACAGTTTTCTGTTGCTTTAGGATTGAAAGAACCGATTAGCTTGCTGGGAGCGTGAAATAGACTTTTTAAAAAATCTGCATGATATTTCCTCCCAGTGAAATTAATTTAGGTTTAAATACAGGGGGAAGGCATACACCTTGTGCCCTAGTCTCTTTCTCTCACACACCTAAGCAGTTCCTCATCCTGAAAGGGTACAGTCGGACCAGCTGCCAAGTCTTAAGTCTTTTGTGAGGCTCCTTTGCAAGGCGCAGTCGAAGAACCTCTTTCTCTTTGACACCCGGCTTTGTGTGGGCCTGATGACACATTCGGAACGTCTGTATTTCTTTGAAGGCCAGGCTCAGAAGCCCAGTGGACCCGTCGGGCACTGTCCGTGGCTGGGGTACTTAAGTGTAGCTGGACCGGCTTCCTGGGTGTTTTAGGAAACGCACCTTCTTGCAGGACAGGGGCCATCAGCAGCTCCGGAGCAACAAAGGACAATTTGAGGGGAGTGGAAGGAGCGCTCCACAGCCGCTCTGGCATCCCAGACCCCTTCTGCCTAGCGCTGGTGTCCTTAGCGGTCCCGCCTTGGCTCCATGGATCCCCCACCCCCGCTGTCTCGCCGCTCCTGAGCCGGGCGGGGCGCGGCGAGCCCCACCACCTTCCCTCCACACCCTCCCTCCCCGTCCCCTTTAAACCCTAGGAGCAGCACTGCGCACCGCAGCCGCGCTCGCCCGGCGCCCCCCGCGACCTCCCCAGCACCTCTGGGGCCCGCTCCCCCGTCCAGTCTGCCCCCGCCCTGCAGTCCGCAGCTCCCGCTCCAGCCCCCGTAGCAGGAGCTGTCAAGCCCGCGGCAGCCGAAGCAGCCCCCAAGCGCCCGCGTCTCCTCTCCTTCCTTTGTGTGCGCGCGAGCGGAGTTGGGGCGGAGGGAGAAGGGGGAGGTCGCTCTGTCTGTCTGTCTCCCGCCGCCTTTGCCCGGGCCGCTTGAAGTGTGCCCGGGGAGGCGGGAGCCCAGGGGAGGTTGCGGGAGCCTGCGGGGCGGCTCGGGGCCGCCCGGGCGCCCTGGTCCCAGCCGCGCGCGGGGGAGCACTGACAGCAGTGGGGCTCGGCAGGAGCCGGGCTCAGCCCGCCCTGGCCGCCCCTCAGCCTCCCTCTGCCCCCACCTATCCCCCGACACCCGGAGAAAAGCGTGCAAAGGCGCGGAGAGGGACGGAAACCACAAATAAATAGCGGCGGCAGCAGCGCGTCATCTGGTGGAGCAGGAAGTGCAGGCTGAGTCCGGAGGCTGGTGCTTTTTGCGCGTCCCCAGGACTTTGCCATGGGCTGGGGGCCGTGGAGGCTGAGAGCGGCCGGGCGAGGGCAGCGGCGGCGGCGCCCGCACCGGGGCTGAGCGAGCAGCGACGCGCGGGGCGCGCGGAGATGGCAGCGTCCAGCAACTCCAGCCTGTCCGGCTCCTCGGTGTCCTCCGGTGAGTTTCAGCCCGTCGGGCGCGGCTGCCGCGCCGGGTCTCTCCCCCTGCCCTCGCCCCGCACCCTGGGACGGATAGAGCCTACCTGTGGCCGTCCCGCCTGCTCTCTCAGAGCGGGGGCAGGCGTCCGGGGTGACACTTGTTTGGTTTTGCCAGCGCCTCAGTGCCCATAGCACCTCCGCGCCTGACATCTGACAGCGCAGAGGTGGGGGAGCCGTGGCGCCCTTAGTGTGCGGACGCGGGTGTTCGGGGCTCGGGCGCAGCGGGCGAGACGCGAAAGGAGCAGGGCTCGCACTTTCTGGCGCAGCTGGAGCGGGGGCTGGCGAGGCGGGGAAGGTGAGGGCGACGCTGGGCGCCCCGACCTGTTGGCCGTGCCGCGCCCGCCGCCCTGGATACCCAAGTCCAAAGCAGAGGGGAGCAAACCCTCGCTCCTCGCAGACTTGATTTTCTTTGTTTGTTTCAGAAATTAGCTCTGTGGAGACACTGGCTTGGGGCATGGGTTTGAGGTAGCAGCGACGAAGGGATTGTGTCTTTCTGGTCCCGATTGAAGTGGGTTAGGAGAGGGAAGTCGAGCCCAGCCTCTGACTCTTGGCACATTTACGTGTGTGTGTGTGTGTGTGTGTGTGTGTGTGTGTGTGTGTGTGTGTGTGTGTGTGAGAGAGAGAGAGAGAGAGAGAGAGAGAGAGACAAATTTCCTATGTGGTCCTTAGACATTTTCTTATAATACTCTCTGTAATTTCACTAACAAGACATACATTTGTTTTTCGTTTTAAGTGTGACTGAGCAAAGGGTGGGCTCGTTTCAGCTTTTCTGTGGTTGATCAGTGGGTCTAATTGAAGAGAAAAAATGCTAATGAATCTAAAGGAGTAGGAGTCAATAGAAGCAGACCTACTGGTTTCTGAGTATGACAGGTTTCTAATCAGAATGATGCATTGAGTAGAATTCCTGTACCTCTCTGGTCATCGAAAACTTTAATGCCAAACCCTAATGGGACAGCTGATAAGACATTTAGTGTAGTATGCAGTATTCAAGGGTCAAGAAGGTCTTGGAGACCTAATGCAAATGCTCAATATATTAATATAGTATTAAGTCCTATTGTGGTCTTTTTATTATTATCCATAAATTAAACTCAAGGGAAGAAACATCTTTTTGGAGGCATTGGACAGCAACCCAGACATAAAAGAAACCGCATCTTTAAATGTGTAACTAATTAAATAATAAATGCAAGGTGAGTTTGACCAAGGTGCAATTGTGATGTGGCACAAGGTGATCACTTGAAAGCCATCTGTTATCTTTTTTGGCAGGGTTCGTTCCAGGGAAATGGCACTTCCTTTCTTGATTACTGCCAACTAATCAAAAACACAGGCGTAGGTGTATGATACAGTTCAAGTTTCTGGTTGTAGCAGCCAATGGAGCAGAACAGTCATATCTTATTAAGAGCAGCAACAAGTTGACCGCCTGTGGTTTTGATTCTGAGAACTCAGCAAATGCTACAGCTTATTTTTAGTACCCTCAAACCACTGCTGCTGCTTTTCAATTCATTTTGGTTGACTAACATTGAATTTAAAATACAGCGATGTTGGCTTTCTATTAGCATATGGTTATCTCTCTCAGAAAACTGCCCACTAGAAAATGAACTGGTGGGGGAGAGGTGGCAAAGGGAAAGAAGAATGGAGAAAGGACAAGGAGGCAGTATTATTACGTGATTTACTGGTGGCATAAATTACAGATGCTGTGGCGTCTGAATTTTTAGGTCTTGATGTAGCTTACAAGAAACCTGATTGAAAATCATAACTCAGCCTCAGGAAGAATACACTGGTTTGAAGCAGCACAGTATAAGCTTTAGATGATGGTAATTGCTTTGCAGATAGGATAGAGATGCTTATAATGGTTCTCTTTCCTGCTTTATTTACCACTATTTTTAATACTAATGGAAACTTGGAAATTACATGAAAGCTGAAATTCAAAAAGTGGGTATGGATATATTATGTGGCATGAATCAACCTGGCCGGTGAGTTTATGTTGCCTAATTCACCAATAAATCAGGCACTTTGTCTTGAAAAATACAGGATTATAGTTCTCTTTTTAAGCACACTTACCATCGTGTGGATCATGAATAATTCAGATGACGCAAGCAATTCACACCTGTGAGAGGTGTTGGGAAGGAAAGAATAGAGCTTATTTGTGGTGGCAGCTGGGTTCTCTCAGGCAAAGGCCAGAGTCTGAGAAATTAGGGCACTCCATCAATCTAGTCATCACCATTTCCAAGGGCCTACTGTGTGCCAGGCAGTAAGATATAAACCTCAGCTTCAAGTAGGTTAAGTGAGGAAGATAAATTTAGGATTCCTTCTAGCTCTGAAGTTCTGGCTCCTCACTGACAAGCTGGATATCTTGTGTTGAGTTACTTAACTTTTCCAAGCCTCAATTTCCTCATCTGTAAATAAAGCTAATAGAAATAATAGGACCTACCTTATAGGGTGTTGTGGTAATTGAATGAGATAACGTGTGTAGAGTGTTTAGCACAGGGCCTGATGGTTAATAAGTGGTTGGTGCGAGTAAATTTTACTCCTTTGGGGAATGGAAAAGAAGGCACTCAATGGCTCAGACTTTAGGTGCAGAAATACATCCAACATACATAACATCTACTTCTCATCACCTGTTAAATTTGATCTTGAATTTGGGGCTTCATTAAGTAAACATCACCTGAGTGTCTTCTAGGGTTCGGGCATAGTCCTGAGTGTCTGGAATGGAAAGATGAGTCAAGATCCTTTCCCTTACCATCCAGCAGCAAAGATGGATAGCAGTATTAATAGCAACCTGTATGCCAGTGTGATGAAATGAATTCTGTGAAGGAAAGTGCAGGGAAAGAGGTGATTGCCTCAGTTTAGAGGGCTCAGTGGAGGTGACATATGAGTTGGGTATTGAAGGATCAGTAGGATTTTTCTGGAAAGCAGATAGAGGGAAAGGCACTTCATGGAAGGAGGAAGAGCTTAGGCAAAGGCCTGGGGATGGGGAAGTTCGTGGCCTTATTTTGACTTTCTTAGTCTGCTGGGCGGTTACTCTTCTGTAGACAGTTGTGCTTCTAGGCCCGTCATGCACAGAGCTGCCGGCTCACTTATTGCTGCTGCTGATGTAGATTTTCTTCCTGTTCAGGGAGCAGTGGGGTTGATCGAACAGCTCTGGAAGCCTTAGGACATAATGTGGACAATTGAGCACTGAAAAAGGAATAGTTGATTCAATAGCATCCAGCATAGGGAGAGATGAACTCAACATGGGCTAAAACTCTTAGAATAGCTGTGGGAGACTTAGGTTTGGTTGTGTTAGCACAGAGTAAAGATCTAATAATTTACTCAGTATTAAGGTTAAAGTTATCTGATTTTCCTGAGGACATGCTGTCACTAGGTGTTGTTGAACAAATCACCCAAGTGTGTCATTTATTCTGCCTTACCAACTGAGACATAACAAATGAAATAATCAGGTTACAATTAATTTTAAAATACATTTTCCTAGAACTCTTCAGAAATTTTCTTCTGGAATATTTAATTATGTGCAAAAGAAATTGCTTTACCTTTGTTTTAATGATAACTGCTGGTAATTAAATTTCACAATCACCTAGATTGGCAGGAAGGTTTGATTACCTTTATTATTTTCAGTTGCAAAAAAAAAAATCCCTATCCTTAAGGTTTTATTCTAGCCTGTAATACTTGATTATATTCTGAAATGAATAATGGTTGATTTGCAGAACAGTTTTCTTAATAATCATGGGTTACATTTGCTTTTATAATTGAAATAAGAACTTTTTGCATATTAGTAATATGATTGCTAAATGGGTAATTTCACAGTCAAGAAAAAAAATCAACCCAAGCAAAGTAATAAATAAAGAAGCTATAAAATGTTCATAGTAACTGAACAAGGTAAAAAAATTAAATATTAAAGGGACCCTCTAGGATCAGAAGTTAAGATGTTTAAAACATAAGCACACTGTATTATAAAAATGAAGTCAACATAGACTTTTTAAATGAAAATGCAAATAGAAAAAGATAAAAAAAATGAGTATTATGTGCAGAGGCATCAAAACCTTAACTGGGAAAAGAACATTCCTGAATGGGTCGAGGTATTTATTTCTCTGGATTCTATACAACGGTAATGTGGGCCAGGTAATAATGTTATTTTCTGCTGTCAAACTGGTGTTAATCCTAGAAATGATAAATAGGACTTTTTATTACTCCTTATTGGAGGATCATAACCAGTGACATA